ATAAACTCGTTGACCTGGAATTCACAGCTGGTTGCAGAAATTGTCCAACCACACAGAAGGGAGAAGGACTGAAGCTCATTTGAAGGGACTCCCAATCGAGCTGTGAGACTTGGATCTGTCCAGTCTCCGGTTGGCCTCTCCTGGAACGGGTGTCCAGAAGGCATCCTTACCAGAAAACCAAATCTGCCCTGTGGTCAGATTTGCTTTTTGTTATTATCCAAAGTTCATGATTTTGTTCTTTGTAATGATGATGATTCATGATGGTTGTTCTAGAATTGCGCCGCTCAAGGTGGCTGCATGTTGGAGCAGCTCTGTTACTTTCATTCTGAGATTTTGCTTTTGGAAACTTTAATTCCTCTTTTTCTGGATGTAAATCACATTTTTAGGATGATTGTTTCCTCTGGTATCAGATGCTGAGCAGCTGGAAGGATTTTTACTGAAACTTTTTTGGTTTTGGAAATTTGTTATGATGCGTAACCATGGCAACAAGGCAGTTTTCTACAACCAACAGCAGCTGATTAACATCTCAAAAGCTCAAATATCTCAACTACAGCCCCAAATCTCAAATGAGTTCAAAAGGATGTTCTGTGGACGCATTCTCATCTACCTGCCAGCTGTGCTCGAGTGCCTGACCACTGAGATCCTGGAACTAGCAGGAAACACGGCTCGTGATAGCAGGACAGGATCGTCCCTCGGCACCTACTACTTGCCTACAGTTGGCTGTCCGCAGCGACGAGGAGCTCGGCAGGGTGCTGGGAGGAGTGGCCATCGCTCTGGGAGGAGTTCTGCCCGGCATTCGGGTGGTCCTATAGCCCGGGGGAACCAAGAGGCCAGCGGAGTCTGGGTGGACGGATCGGACAGCATCTGCAGCCAGTTTCTTAGGATCCACTGTGGGACGGACCTTTACAAGAGATCCTCCCTGTCTACAGCCGTCAGTATCTATAACATCTCTTAATGAAATGAGGATAATGAGTTACAACAACAAATAATTTCCCTTTGGGATTAATAAAGTATTTTTGAAAAATAAAATGAAATTGATCTTAGCTGAGTGTTGGAACAGAGTGATAAATTGAGAAATCGCCTCCCAGCTGTTAAACCACTACATCCACATCACTGCACTGACCCAATTCAGCATCAGTCTCCTGCTCTGATCCACCATCACCTGTGCACCTAAAAACACTAGACACCCCCCCCCCCCCCCCCACCGTGGCACAGGCTCAGTCTCAACAATCCACCATTTCCTGGTTGAGGACCACAGCCCCAGACTTGAGGTGTTGATCTGTATCCTGGCTGCAAACATCCATGATGAGTCTTATCAAGGTGGGAGGTTTTGAGTCCTAAAGACCCCTGAAGCTATGATCTTGGAGCAGTTTGTCTCTGGTAGGGTCTCCCATGGCATGTTGGTTCTGGGTGAGGAGCCAGACATAGAACAATCTGAAAATCCATTGGAGTATTACAAAAGGGTCCAGAACTAGGAACACCAGGGCCTCAGCCTGGAGATAAACCTGCAGGGGGGAGTGTTTTGGTGGGTGGGTCTTTACCCAAGGGCTCTGAGGACACAACACAGGACCACCTTCCTGTGGATCCATGACTTCCAGGAGGTGCAACAGCTGTATTACCAACAGACACTCGGCTGCTGAAACTGGCTTAGAGGCTTGGAACATCCTTTTTATTTAACTGAGTAATATTCTGTAGAAACGTTTACAAAAAAGTATCTCTTTTTGGATGCATGTTTTTGAAACATGTTGGTGTTTAATAAAAAAAAAAAACAATAGTAAATAAAATGTGTTTCCAGTTTGTGAAACCAAACTATCAGCTGTGGCTGCGAGACTGAACGTAACCGAGGAGCAGCTGGATGCTTTGAGAACACAAAGCTCAGGTGACGTTCGTGATATTTACTGATTATTTTAGAATAGTTTGTTTCTTATTGTGATGTCTGCGTGTTTTTAGACAGAGCTGCAGAGCTGGTTTCAGTTTCACACAGACTGACTGCAGCTCAGAGCAACGCTGAAGGTGACTCAGAGACTTCAGCTCATTTTCTATCAAACTGACTGCATTATAGCAGGCTTTTAATTTTAAAGGTCATGATGTGTTCATGTGTCATTTTCAGCTCAGCTCTCCTCCATGGAGTCCAGACTGACTGATGGACTCAACAGAACTTCAGGTGAACCTGATTAGATCTTCTCAGCTTCTGGATACGAACTGGACCTCTTACCTTTTAGGTCTACAACACACACACATTTGTTGTAGATAAATAAGTAACAGCAGGTTTGTTCAACAGACGTGGAGGTCAGACTGAGATCCACAGAGACCCAACAGGAACATCTGGAAGCTCACATAGCAGGTGCTCTCAGCAGCTTATAATTAGTTTCAATAAACCTGCATAAAAGCTTTAAATTACACACTTATGATTCTATTTTCAGTTCTGGACGTCAGACTGAGTGTCAGCAAAAAGCAGCTTGAAGACCTGAAAACAGAAGACTCAGGTGAAGGCATGAATCTTTGTGACTAACTGAACATTAACTGACTGGGTTTCCTCCCACAGATCAAAAACATGCATGTTAGGCAGCCTTCAGGCCCCCCTTGCAAAAGAGATCTGTGATCTCAATGGGATTTGCCTGGTTAAATAAAGGTTAAATAACGAATAACATTCTCCTGAAAACAGGAACGTATAACCACAGGCTCCTACTGGAGCCAAAACAAGGGTTGAACTTGTTGGGACGTACATCCTGAGAAGTCTGTAAAGCAAAAGCTGCTTCTTTAAAGTCATTGCTGATGTCCAGAGAATTTTCTTCGTCTTTTAGGTGGGGTGTTTTAGAGGCTGTTACAAACCCAATCAGTTACAACTATTTACACACAAAGACGCCACTGAAACTCAAATCTGACATTCACTCCTGACTGGATCCCTTTTTTCCCCATTTAACATCTAAACAAGAGTCATTTATTCTCGTAGTCTTCACACAGACCATGGTGTACTTCCATACATCTCACAGACCAATTCTTGATGCTGAAGTACTTCTAGTATCAACACAATATCGTGTAGTTCCCCAAACTTTTTTTCTGACAGTCCCCCACTATCTAATGAAGTTCTCCAAACGTCTCTTTTTTTGATAACCCCTGGTTATTCAGACATTAAACAAAACTCTTCTCACCCCGTAGTCATGGCACCTCACAGGTTGGACTTCCGTCACCTCCACCCATCAGCAGACCTGGCCTCAATTAAATCGGCAATCCAGCCGGAGGGCTTTCAGTTCAGGAGTCCAAGACGCCTCCGTGCACGGATTCAGGTGGCAAGCCCGGAGATCTGAGGTCAGATGTTGGGGCCGGCTCTCGAAGGACCATCTGTTAGAGAAAATCACTCTCACCAACTTTGTTTATCCAAAAAGAACCAGACTCAACGGCAGGAGATTTTTACGCAGCATTGTACTTGCAAGGACTCATTCGAGACAGATTACGCAGATGAAGCATGGGGCGTGTCACAGAATGAGCGCTGTTTAGTTATCTGCAGACTTTTATACAGCAGCACAGCCCAGCAGGTGTTCCCTCATAGCTGCAGTCAGACGCATAGACATGATCCATGGCGTCGACAAGTCGGCCTCCAGATGGAGAAAAGAGAATGTTTTGGGCTCAAAGCAGGAGGGAAAGATGTTCTCAGCCATAAACACAATAAAAATATTCATACCAAAGATTTTCTAACATCCGTCCATCTTGACATCGTGTACACATCTGAATGCTCCAAAGCAGCAAACTGATAAAATATCTGCTTTTATGGACATCATCAAATAAATCTCGTGCATCTGTATCCTCTTGTTCTCGGCAGTGAGGGTGGACTTTATTTTTTAGGTCTGTGCCAGTGAGGACCATCCCCCACAGCATGATACTATCACCACCGTGCTTCACTGTTGGGATGGTGTTCTCTGCATGATGAGAGCTGGTAGATTTGCCTCTTGATGGACATTAATGTCCAGTCTTAGTCTCATCTGACCACAGCACCTTCTTTTACATGTTGAAGAAGTCTTCAGTACGCCTTTTAGACAAATACAAACGTTCTCCCCGATTTATTTTTCTTGAATCAATGTCGTTTTTCTGGACACTCCTCCAAGTGCAGCTCTGAACTTCTCAACTGTGTGTGTGACCTGTGTGGAGAGTTTCTAGGTCTTTGTGGTATCTCCTAGTGGTGGCCCTTATCATTTAGAGGCGATGCTCTGGTGCTCCAGTCTTTGCCTATGAGGTTTGAAGGAACTATTGTGGATCCACTGGCTGCAGGAGGGGTGGATTAATCCCTCGTTGCTGAAACTGGGTTTTGATCGTCAACTTTTCATCAATATTCTGCTGAAAATTTTACAAAAAGGCATCCACTTTCTTGAATTGAGTTGTAGTGAAAACAGAAAATCTCGTTTTGTTTTTTTGTTGTTGATATAAAAAGAATGAATAATGGTAAACGAAATGTTTTCAGTTTGTGAAATGAAACTGTCAGCTGTGACTGCGAGGCTGAACGTAACCGAGGAGCAGCTGGATGATTTGAGAACGCGAAGCTCAGGTGACTTGAGCGATATTTAGAGGTCATCATGCTGTTCTGGCTTTATTCGTTTCTTAAATGTTTTAATATGTTGTCTGCATGTTTTCAGTCAGAGCTGCAGAGCTGCTCGCAGTTTCAGACAGACTGACTGAAGCTCAGAGGAACACTGAAGGTGACTCACAGAAACTTTGTGCTCACACGGTGGTTCAAATCCTTGAAGTGTAATCAAGTAGTTTCTCGTTAGAGCTCCAGATCAGACTTGGAGTCAGCGAGGCTGCAATGACTCAGATGAAGACAGAGAACAGAGGTGAAGTTCATGATTCGCTGTTAATCCCATCATCGAGGAGCCAATGAGTCAAAAAGTCCAACTGGTGTCTTTCAGATGAGCTTCAAGTGGGGTTTTCAGCCGGTCTGACTGATTCAGGGTTAGTCGGTCCTTTTGATGAAGAAACAACTCTGATCTTCTCCAAAACCATCACCAACGTCGGCCAAGGCTACAACCAGTCTGCAGGTAGTTTAAAACTAAAATGACTTTAGCTCTAAAATGTCAATAATCACATTAATATGCTTGTTGTCTTGCTTTGTTTTGGTGAAACACCATTTTCTTTTAGCTGTTAGAAGAACAGTTTATATTGATTTTCAGTTTGATCAGAGGTAACGGACGTGCGCTCCAGATTGATGAGGTGAAATGAGGAAAAACACGAAAATGACCCCTCAAGTCAATTCTGTTATCATCACTCTCCTCCTTTGAGATCATTTTAAACGAGAGACGAAGACAAAACCTCTCAGCTTTAAGAGATGGGGTGATAAACTTCTCATAACCTGCTGAAGATTTTTTTCTTTAAAGAACTGCTTCTGGTTTTAGTGAACAGAATCGATACTTGCTGCTTGTGTTGGTCCCTCAGGTGTTTTCACAGCTCCGGTCAGAGGACTTTACTTCTTCAGCTTCACAGCTGCAGATTACTTGAAGGGCTACATGGGTCTGCACCTGTACAGGAACGATCAGCCAATCATCTTCAACCTTAACCTGAACGACCATGGAGGATACGCCTCCACTTCCAACGCTGTGGTTCTGCAGCTGGACGAGGGTGACCAGGTCCGCCTCAGTCTGCCTGCCACCTATCGGCTCTACGATGACTCCAGGAACTTCAGCATGTTTTCCGGCTTCCTGCTGTTCCCGCTCTGACAGTGACGCACCAAGGATCAGGATAAATCTGAGGTTTTATCCATGTAATGAACTCTCCTCATAAATTTCTCTACATGTACTTAGTTTTTAAGCTAAACAGGCCTTATAATGAACAATGGAATTCACAAAAATCTGGTTTGATGAAAAACTTCCTGTGGCCATAGAATGAACTAATTAAATTATGAAGATATATGGGAAATAAAAGATGCAAATATTACCTCAGTTTATATCCATTATCATTAAAGATGGAAGATCTTTTTATTAAAGATCTACAAAATAAACCATTGTCTGTCCAATTTCTGCGGTGGGTAGTGGGGGGGGTTTACAGACTGCACTGTCCCCTTGGACAGTAACAGGACCCACACGCAGAGGCATTCACACTTATAGCTTATAGCGTCAAGATGTCCAAGTAGACTAATACCTTAGACTGTAAGGCAATCCAAAGGAAGCCCTTGCATAATCTGGTCCAAAAACCAGATCCATCTTCCTGCAGGCTGGTTGAGTTCCTTTGAATTTTGACCTTCTGGGCGTAGGTTGTCCTACGTTTTCTTCTCAGACTGAAGAGCAGCAGCTTCTCTAAAGTCATTGCTGATGTTCAGCCTTGGTACACACAAGGTGACATTTGAATCATTTTAGGGCCTGGGGAAAAATTAGATAAATATTATGTCCTGACAAGCCTTAGAAATAAATAAAAAAAAGTTTAGTTGTGGACATAATTTAAATAAAACATTTTACATTTGAGAACAGGGTTGTGAAGCTCAAAGGCAACTCTTGCTTGTACAAGTGTGCATTAAGCTGCACAGCTTGTGGACGTTTCTGTGCAGACAGCTTGCAGCACGATTACACCCAAAAAGACAAGATTAAATTACTTGTTTTAAACGAGCAGAGCTGCATAAACTGAAGCACACTATTAAAAACAACTTTCATGCAATGAAGTGTGAGCAAGCAGTTTAACACAGTTCAAAGGGTTCAAGGTCATTTGAGTCCAGGTACGAAATGACAAAAAATGGCGGCTGTAAAAATGACATGGTGAAGGAATGTAGTGAACAGAAAAACCTGTTGTAAAATTCACTGCAGCAAAAGCGCACTCACTCATTGATTATTTAAAACAAAATTCATTTATCTGTAATTTTGGAAAAATAAAGTTTAAAACAACTTATCCTTCAAAGGTTTTCCTAGTCATGCTGTTCCTGTGTTAGCCTTTAATCCGCTACGTTGCTAGCTGAGCAGCTAGCCCATCGAGGATTATAAAAATGACAAATGTTCGGATGTTGAACTGCCATTTTTAACATTATTTTTTTAATAAGCGGGCATCTAGGAAAAAGCTACTAATAATTCTGTGAAATCATATCCACCTGCCGTCGTTTTCAGCATAATCAAAGATATCAAACCTGTTAGCTTAGCTAGCGTTACTCTAACAACACTTTGCTCTAGCCCGCCTCCACCCCGCCCACTGGCTGCATCTCCAAATCTGATTGGTTGATTAAAGTGTCCGTCTTGACTTAATGTACTGTATTTATTTAACAGTAATGT